GGGACCAACCGCCTCCCCCCTCCAGGAAGAACCTTCCACCCTACCCCCCCCCCCCCCCCCTGCTCCACAAAACCCCTCTTGTTTTCAAATGAGGAACCACTGAGGTACAATCGTTTAAAAAAACCATCCGCAATTTTCATGCGAAAACATCAAGTTATTTTCATAGCTGACGAAACCCCCAGACAATTGATGTCTGAGAAAGAGTGAAAAAAAATGTGGGCATTAGTCTAACGTAATGGGATGTCTGCTATATGGAGGGGGGGGGGGGGTGATCACAGCCGCGAGGGACGATGGAGAGGGGCCGGGGAGGGTTGGGGATTATGCACATTCCTCGCCATTCACGACAGGGGTTTAAAAAAATTGCACACGTAATTATGTAGCCAATACTAGATCAAATTACAACATTAGGAATTTCTTTTTTTTCCAGTGAAAGTGTTTTGAAGATGTTGCCTAGGGCGTTGAACTAATTAAGGAAAGAAATGCTAGGCTAAGACTGCTAAGGATGATATTATGAAGTAGCCTATTATTTGAGCTGACTGTTTTAACTGTAGGAATGTAGAGTCGGGATTGAAACCTAGTACACACAACCTCCATTCGAGAAAGGGTGTGAGTGTGTGTGTTATGAGTGTATGTGTGTGTGTGATGTGATGTGAGGGGATACATAATTACACAAGAGCTGTATTAGTATTAGATCCTAGTATGGTGTCACTATGCAGAGTGTTTTTTTTTAAATCAATATTCAAATATTCATTTAAAAAAATGGAAGGTGTTGTCGAGAAAGGCATATATATAGGCCTACATTTTATATATGTACTGAGCTTTAGTTTTAGTGTAATACAGTCGAATACAGTAATTGTTTGCTGACCGTTTTAGTCTGTGCTGTTATGATATTCTCTAGATCAAGTAAGTCGCCTTTGTTTTCACCTGAAGATGTTAAGGCTATAGGAAGTAGATACTGCCTGATTTTCTAACCTCAGTATAAAATAAATCGTATAGAAGAGCCTACACTATAAAAGCAAATGCAGAACAAAATGTCGACTACAGATTTGCCTAAAGAATAAGCCTAGCGTCCTATACCCACAATCTACGTCATGTTGATACATGGTTTACCAATAGCCTTTTCCAAATCCATAATTTAAAGATCTTCTTTCTTAATTTAACTAGACCAGAAATTCGATGTTCAAAATGAGCAATTACATTTACGTCTCATTTATTAAAATGTTTTCACGCTGTTTTTTTTAAGGTTCAAATTAATTATTGATTAATGTATTGGTTACCAATACAATTAGATGAATGATTAAACTCTTTAGGCGAATCAATTACCTCTTAATTAACCGGGTCATTACCTGCTATAAAAACGAGGGCTAATCCTGAGTGTATCAATGAATTGTTATCAATAGTCGTGTGAACAAAGCCGCGGACTGACTTGAGGTGAGACAATGACGTTTTACAAGTAGTTGGAAAACATGGGGGGGGGGGGGGGGGGGAGGGGAGGTCTAGGGTTGAGCCTGTCAGTGCGGATTTATCAGAATACAAAACCGTCGTAATAAAGGCTATTGATTTACTATAGCAAATCAACAATGGAATCAATATTACAAAAAGTGAATGCTCGTTCATGAATATATATATATATATATATATATATATATATATATATATATATATATATATATATATATATATATATATATATCTATATATATAATTCTCTTCTTCGAGCCGTTAGAAAACAAGCTGCAAACGCTCTCCCTACCTCCCCACCCCTACATGGTTTTAGTGAGCTGTGTTCACTCTAAATGTTTACAAGCAGAGCCAACGATTTTAAACGTAGGGGGGGGGGGGGGGGGGAGAGGAGGGGGGAGGGAAGGAAGGGGGGGGGGTTATGGTCCTTAACGAGCTACTTATAGTGTTTTAAAGAAATATTTTCAGTGTCAGCGTTGGTACTGTCGAATTCACAAATTATGAATTATTGAAATTTAGAAACAACTAAATAGCGGCGTATGTTATGCCGCGGGCCGGCTCGTATATATATAACACAGAATTTTGAATCTGTGGTAGAGTAAAATACAGGCAAAAGTAACTGAAATTTACAGGTAAACACCCTGTCAAGAAAATTCAGTTCTATCAACGTTTCCGTTTAAACAGCGGGTGGGCCGGTAGTGACCCGCGGTCCGGAGGGTGGGCCCGACGGTGGCCCGCGGTCCGGCAGTGACCCGCGGTCCGGCACGTGAAGACCCATCTTCGGTCAAACAGCTGCCGTAAAAATACAACACAAAGAGCAGCTCGCATCTGATACCGTGGGTTACAATGGATAAAGGCTTCAATACCTCGGGAGGGTAGGGGAGGAAGGAGGGGGGGGAGGAGGAGGAGGAGAATAGGGGAGGTCATTGTGGTCACTGTGTCCGGGCGATGGCGACGATAACCCGGACAACAAAAGAGTTTAACGACATCTGGTGGGCTGTCCCGTGTGTTTAACAGTTGTCGCCCTTTCTCAAACAGCCTGCCGTTTAAGGATATTGATTCGATACTAAACACAACGTATTGGTTTCACGCTCCATCAATATATAAATAATTATAATGTAAACATCTTTACTCTAATCAATAATGTTAACATATTCTTCTAAGCCAATATTCTACTAAACAGTTTCCTTACAATCCATTTTGCAATCATCAGTAATCTCCAATGTACCCTCTAAGCTGCGGTTGTGAATCTGCCGCACAGTCATTGATATAAATAATAAAACTACTAACTATTTGCATTTAATGGTGCCAAACACCTTATAATTAAATATTACTATGACGTCTAATACATATCTGGTGTATTTACAAAACATAACATGCATATGACAAAGGAAAACACGGATTGATGGAAAACATGGTTTCTAAAAAAAATGTCATATGAGATGTTTACAGGTTATTTAATATATAACAGATAAAAATAACTCGGAAAATTAATTCGGATAAAGTAAAACACAGACATCTTAAAATATGGATCAATGTGGCAGATGAATAGATGTTTCTCTTACCACGGCATATGAAGAGATAATACAGTATGCCTTTCCCTAACAGGAATCTGGTACCCATCAGAGCTGGGTGGACGGGCTTAGGTTCCGAATCCTAGACTTTCGGTTTAGCAGTCGTATGCTCTACCATCCTAACACGCAGTTAAACATGAGCAGATGAAAAACATGGATCAAAAACTAAACTATACGAGGCTTGCAATTTACTTATTGTATCGGGTAAATGACTGCCAACCCGATAGTCTCGAGTTCGAATACGGGTTCAGGTAAGTAGCACTTTCCTGAGTCCATCCAGCTCTGAAGAGTACCTAACTCACGCTGGGAAAGTAATGCAGTTGGGAGAGTGGTGACCACACTATCTCTTCATATGCCGGGTCACAGAAGCGTATGAACTCTACTTCACTTGCCCCATGGACCGTCAAGTTTGAAAGGATAATTTACTTTATCGAGTTTTCTTCTTCTTCTTCGTTCTTAATTATTAATGTTGAAGGGGATCGAGATTTATCTGCCAGTGAACTCGAGACTTTGTTCGAGTTTATAAACCATGAGCTACTTTATCGAGTAAAAGAGGACTCATTGTACGCAGTCTCTGAAAAAACATGACTTAACTCAGACAAAAATAAAATTTTGACAAAGCGAAACAAAAACAACGGAAAAAAGGTTAAAAATATATATAAAAATTGGGGTTCTCGGGAAAAAAAAAACCAGAATAGTCTGTGATATAATCTTATGATTGAACGTGGACTCTAAACTTTAATTAAACAACAACAACTAAACAGAAATTAAAACGGACAAGAAAGAAATTCTAATAAAGCAAAAACATGGACAACAGAAAAATATAGATGAAAGAAAAAATTTATATTGAGATTTACTGACAAAAAGAACTGCAAAAAGACAAATCACAGTTCGAACCAAAGCAAACTCCGGACATAGTTAAAGAGGGAAGAAAACTGGGCAGTAAAAAACTGCCGACGTTAGAGGTCACACGATTTTTGCGTCCAACAAGACATAACTCTCTAGTGTCTGGGGTGAGGAAACCATGGAAACGATTTATTGCCAGTCCAACCCCAGTATCGAGTCGAGAATCGAAGTCGTGAGTAGATTGGTTTCTGTAATCGAGTTACGTGGGGCTCCTGGCCCCTATGTGTGAGTTAGAAATGACCAGAATCAGATAGACCAGCACGGTAAAACGGTTCTGTAATCGAGTTATGTGGTCAATGGAATGCCTGACCCATGTCAACAGTGTGTGTGTTCAATAGAACTGACCAGACATACACGCACTGTAAAACGGTAATGTGGTCTACGAAATTTCTGGTCCTTATCTAGTATATCTAGCTTTACAGAATAGAACTAACCATATATACTAGCATTGTAAAACGGTTATGTAATCGAGTTATGCGGTCAATGGAATTCCTGACCACGGTCTACTGTCTGTGTCTCTCTAGAACTGACGTATATACATGCACTGTAAAATGGTTCTGTAATTATATTATGTGGTCTATCCCCGACCACGTCGTTTCTACAATATTACAAAGTATAAAGCGAAAGGAAATGTTGCGGTAGATTCACCAGAGGACATGAAACTGAAACATGACAAGATATGTTCCTGTTTATTTGCTCTTCGTGCAGTCTGAAAGATGTGTTCCAATGCACGAAGTTACTTAAAAATGTAATTATTGGCCTATAATTACTGTTTTGACTTATTGGCCTACAATTTAGCTTCGATTAAATATGATGATATATCAGTTCAGACATAATATAAAGTAGGCCTATTAAGGTTATAAACCAAACTACTGTTTTGATAAACAATATACATTTATAAAAGGTGTACAGTTTTATGTACGAAAAGGTTAAAAGTACGCCTATATTACCTTTTATCACTTTCAAAATACAGGCCTAATATTTGTTTATTTTATTTTAACACATTTTAAGTAAATAGTAAATTGTCGTACTAAATTTTTAATAAATAAAATTACTTACTTGATATTCAAATCCATTTTATTTTAGTCTATTCTCTACAATCCAGTAAAGGTTACTATGATATATATAAGCACACTCTGGACCTTGGTAGCTTTCGCTAAGTCACAGAAAGTAGAATCTATATCCAATGTGTAAATTGGCTACAATCAAGATCTAGGAATCTAGAGTCTATCACTCGCTCTATGTCAGTTGTTGCTCTGCTGTGCAAGTCCCTTTCCAACACAACACACCATAGGAATGTCGTACTCTACAACATGTATTGAATGTTTAAAAGGCAATCACCAAACACTTATGGTGTGTACACAGCTATAATCAATACCGTTGTTCGAATAGGACAAGGCGATCAGACGAAAGAATTTTAAAAAGCCGGCCTCACAACAAAAGATGTGTCAAGAAAAATATACCCGGCTAAGCGATCGACAAGGCAAGTGTCGGCTGATATAAATAATGCAACGAGACAGAATATTGCTTCGCTACAGGCTATGCTCAAGATAACTGGAATAATATAGCATTATTTTATCTGCGTCATCAGCACTTTTTAAATACCTATGTAAATTAAATATTCGATTAGTGAATTGTGTTGAAAATCCAACGAAACACCTACTTAAGCCGTCTTAGCGAAGATGAATAAAAATATTTTTAAGCTGCCTGCTTTAGTGCTTGTTCACACAAAGATTTTTTTGTTGAGACTTCGGGCTATTTTTAGATTTAAAAATCACATCTATGTAGATCTACAGCCTTGCACAGAACTCCCTATGCGTGCTTGATTTACATAAATCAATAGTTTCGAAAAGATCCGCAACAACATTTTTCCTATGGAATAACATGGGGCTCGTTTCGGCCGAAAACGTCTTTGTTCCGTGTTTTTATTTTACCGTCTGCCTAGTAGCAAGCAGACGACGCGATGTAGACACCGACCGGCTCCCACTTGTTGATTAGTTTCATTCACCTTCAACCCTTCCCCTCCCCCTCTCTCGACTAGAAACCCTCCCTGTCGTAGTGTAAAGGTTTTCCCAGGTCCGCGTTGCCTTCATTGTGAACATGAGTTCAGGGGCGGATTTCTTTGTTGTTTATAAAGTGTTGTCTGTAACTTATTGCTTAAATAAAACTGAACGGTCTTTCGAGGGCTAGTTTTCTTTTTAATGCTGATTTTTTCTTTACATGAATCGGTACATATTCTTAGCTGTGGATTTCTTTGTAAATTTTTTTCAGACTTTTTTCCTCGGGGGGGGGGGGGGGGGGGGTGCACTTGATATTTTCGGGGGAGGGGGGAAACGGACATTTTCCGGGGGGGGGGGGGGAGCGGACACTCGTAAAAGTATATGTTACTATATAAATTCCATCTCGTTCGGGGGGTGGGGTAGACTTTCTTCAGGGGGGGGGGGGGGGGTTCCTGAAAGACACTGTTCTTGGTTGTTTAAAAATGTGTTGTCTAGAACTTAGTGCTCCCAGAGGCTAATATTGTTTTCAGAGACCTCGGCATATGAAAGGATAGTATGGTCAGCACTATGCACTTTACTAAATTGATAATCTGGAAACGCAAAATTTTCTTAGGGGCGGTTTTCTTTGTTGTTTTAAAATAAAAATGTGTTGCCTAAAACTTAAGGCTTCAAGAGGCTAATATTTATTTTCCTTTTAGATTCCGACTTTATACTTAAATTGCTGATCTTACCTGAACAGTTTCTTACGGGTGGATATCCATGTAAACTTGCCATTACTCAAGGCTTAAAAACTGAACGATCTTCCAATATGTTTTTTTTCCCTCACTGAAGTGCCGAACTTTGCCTACGTGCTTAAAATCTTAAATCCAAAGATTCTCAAAGAGGCGCATTAAAAAATACATAAATAAAATACTGCCTGTTACTAGGGCATTAAAGTCGCATTATGCATGGGATTCATGCGTGTTAGAAGTAATATAAAGGAAAAAAGAATTCCCGAAGGGGATTTAAAAGAATGTAATTACAACCCACGCAGACTCATTCTCCGTGGGGGAACGATATTGTGTTCCTTGTAGGTTGTCTAAAAAATTAATTTAAAAAAGTTTTCGAATAAATGTATTAACTTTCGTAAATAATATTAGGTTTCTTTTTTGTTTTCCTTTTTTTTTTTCAAAATCGACTTGCAGTGACTTGACTTAATCCTCTTTACTCCATGAGGAGCATACGGCCTCAACCATAATCTTCCGTTTTGTCAATTCCCCGGATGTTGATTCAGCAGCCTCTTTTTAACTCGTAATTGGGTTTTAAAAAAATTAAATTTGGTAAATTATTTTTTTTTTTAAAATCTATAAAAAGTTATGATGCGGGATAACATGTGTTTACCAGCCAATAGCTACAATTAAGCAGCGGTTACATTAAAAGTAAGTTTCCTACAATGCTAAAATTTAAAAAAATACAACTTATTATGCAATATAGAGTAGATAAACATACGAATGATTTTAGTTAACGTGTCAAATTTATGGGTTGCTTTTATTGAGAAACTTAATTAAATGCAAATTGTTGTCGGCATAAACAATACATATAGCTAGCTCACAATAAAAGGTTGGAATTTTACCGGAATAAACAATACACGTATTAGGGGGTTAGGGTGTTGTGTTTATATGGATTTGTATTATTTATTTATTTATATTGTTAAACGCTTTCGTTTCAATTCAGTAAGAGATTTTTTTCAATTTTAAAGAGATTTTGATGAAGCTTTAATAGTACTATACATAAAAAGCATATTATAAACTATTAACAACATATATTTAATCTTAACAGTCAAACTTTAAAAAAATTGTATCTCGATCGCCGCCCCTGAAGATTACCATTAAATGGTTGTAAAAAAATACGTCGTTGGGACGGTCTGGTATGTGAGGAGTTAAACGCCAGATAAATTGTCAGTTTTACTGCCATCTTCCAGTCTGGTGTGGGGAATTTTTAAAATTCCCACTACACGTCTTTAAAAGGCTGAGTTAACGACAGTGACCAGTGTTTCTTCCAGACTTTTTTCTCCGGGGGGGGGGGCACTTGAAATTTTCGGGGGGGCGGTAAACTTTCTTCGGGGGGGGGGGGGGCGGACACTGTTAAAAGTATATATTTTCTATATAAATTATATAAATTTCATTTCGTTCGGGGGGGGGGGGTGGTAAAAAAAATTTCGGGGGGGGGGGGGGCTTAGCCCCCCTGAAGAGATACCTGGAAGAAACTCTGACAGTGACATTAGTGTCAAGCATACATGTTTGATTTAGGATCTATCGATCTCAAATAAAACGTCATAAAACTGTTATCTAACAACACATTGTCATTGCTTAAAGCCGATAGGTCTATTTCTAAACTTGCTTTAAAGTTGTTTTTTTTTTCCTTTAGCCTTTAGTACATTCGATGAATTACTTTTCGCTACGTTATAAATTATAAATGAACACGCTTGTAAACACAAACATTGGTCTGAAAATGTAGGTCTACATTCACTTGTCTTTCTAATGACTATAAATACTCTTTAAAGAATACAAGGGTGTGGTAAATGGGATGCAGATCATGTGGGAAGGGGGGGGGGGGGGTTAAAACCGCATTACTTAGGTGTATATTTGTAATTCTCTACGCTCTGATTGGACCTAGGTACGAATAAATTTAAAAGGAATTTTTTTTTCCGAAGGGAGACTTCCGGGGGTTAAGTTTTTATTTTCTATATCTATTTTTTTTCCGAAGTTGGGGGAATATGCCTAAAAAAAAGATGCCTAAAAACGGTAGATCAATGTGAATTGTTTTTTGAAGGCTATTTCTAGTGAATTTTGCAAAGAGTCGCAACTTTTGCAGTACTACGAACATGTAGGCCAACTACGGAAGAAAATCTCAAGTTCGCGCAGGGTACAACAATTTCGATTGACGCCCCTGCCGGACGGACGGAAGCATTTCCTGCTACAGACGGGTCAATGAATGACCTCTGTGGCCCGCAGTGGGGTGGGGGGGGGGGGGGTGGTGATGGAGGGAGGGAGGGGCAGACATGCGTATCACGAGCCCGTACAAGGTGTGCTGCCGTGAAGAGAATTAGCGTGTATTTAAAGGGAGTAAAGAGATCAAAGACAAACACTCTAGCAGCAATCATGCGGATTAATGACATGTGTTTGATGTTTACAGAGTCATATCTGAAAGACACGGCATACAGAAAATACTTAACAGCTAATGACATTTCATTAATAAATGTAACCTTACGATTAAAGTTTTGGGACTTTTCCCCCACTAACATGGGTTAGTTGAGTATGTCATTTTTTGTTGTGGGGTTCATTTCTTGATCTTTTTTTTTGTTTTATTTTTTTTAAAATATTGTTTATGTAAATTTTTATTTTTTAATGTTTCATTTCTTAACGATGTTGAAATGTTTTAAAAAAATGACAGTATTCGTTGTTGTCCAAGTATCGCTGGTTAGATATCTAAACGTGACACTTCCGTCTTATTATCATTGAAAAAAAAGATTTTTAAAGTAACATTTGCCTTCTTGATAAAATATCCAAACACTTTACATTTCAAGTTTCAAAACAAAAATTGTCAAGTACTCGATTTGAAAAAATCTGGCTCAACGTGTCATAGCCACATGAGTGTAGAAACAGATAAAAAAACAATTAACTATACCTTGGTGACTTGGGGAGGGGAGGGGGGGGGTGGCGGGGAGGCATTGTATAATGCGATAAGTTACTTGATTGTAAATCTTTCCGTTGACGTGAGATTTGAAGCTATTCAGTTTTTGTAAAACTAACGGGCGCGTGACAATGGGAATTTGAGCTCATTCTCAAACGGTTCGCAACACAAAGAGTCGTGTTGTTTTACTAAGAGGGTGAGAGTGGACAGGGGTGGGGAGGGGGTGGATAAAATAAAGAAAACACCTATCACACCCCCTCACTCACAAGCCCCTAATGCCCCCCCCCCCCAACACCTACCCAACCTACCCACCTCTATGTCATAATATGGCGAACATAACCACCCACCCATAATACTACAGAAAACCCACCGTCCTCCCTCCCCCCACCCAAGTCCCGACTATGCTACAGATGACCCATCAACCCCCCCCCCCCCCCCCCCCACCACTACCACCGTCCCATAAAACTACAGAAAACCCACCCTACTCATTCTCATTACGATACCCACCCTACCCACCCCAACTTCTTTTCTTTCAAACAACAGAAAACCCCCACCATCCTCCCCCCCCCCCCCCATCAAGCTACAGATGCCCCCACCCACCCTCGGAAGCCATGTTGATTTTCACGACCTAATTATCTGACCGCGTTTCCCCACAGCCGACATGCACCCAGTAAAAAGCCATCGATTCCACCCCCCATCCCCCGGGGTCTGACGGACAAAGACGGTCAACTCCCAGAGACCAGCAGAGGCATGACGGTTGACCTAGATCTGGGATTTTCCCCTGCAAGGGGAGATCACCCGACCTGTAATGACAGTCACTCAGTGGTGGAACATGCCTCGGAGAGTTTTTTTATGCGGGGTGGGTGGGAGGGTGGTGGAGGTTGGAGGGGAGGGATGGAGGAGGATTAAATGAAAGATAATGGGAGGGAGGAGATGGATTCGAACAAAGAGGGAGTAAATGACCTGGTATAGGTCGTTAA